TGTGTGTGTGTGTGTGTGTGTGTGTGTGTGTGTGTGTGTGTATGCGCGCGCGCACACGCGTGCACGCAGTACTGGCATCTAGTGGATAGAGACCAGGGATGCAGCTAGACATCCTACAAGGCACAGGACAGCCCCCACGACCAACCACCTTGCCCCAAATGTCCGCAGTACCGCTGTCAAGCCACACTAGAGAGTAGCAGTGTTTGTTTGAAAAGTGACTGAATTGTCGAGCCCCTTTCCCTTTGGGAAGCATCTAGAAGGCTTTCCTGCTCCAATGCATTCCACACATTCCACTTTTTCAGGCAGAAGCTACAGCACCAGGATCCACAGGCCAAATGTGAGTAGAAGTATTTTGCTGCAATACTGCAACTGTATTTTGTTGGCCAGCACGATGCTCAAATTTTTAAAAACATGTTGTTGGCATTTAAAAATCATGTACTTTTATGAAAAATCTAGATTTCTGCCTTCTCTTGAACAATCAAGATGTGGCAACACTGGCCCCTCAGTAACAGCGGAGAGAGGGGGCGTCTAAAACATTTAACAGCTGGTACTGCAGGACCCGGCCACTCAGAATGATGCCAGTCGTCAAGACAGGGACGGTCACTGGTTCCATGCCAGCCCCACCACGGAGCCACCAGCTGGAGCTGGGGAGTGGCTGCTCCCTCTGGGTGGGACCAGCATTCTCCCCTCTTCAGCTCCTCGCTACTGGGGCTCTGTCCCAAACCCACTGCCGTTGATACTTGGGGGTTTTGGCTTTTATGGGCTGTAGGTTTACTTTGTAAACCTTCATAAAATCACTATATGTAAGACCTTTATGCCCACATTGTAGGGCTTGGAGTAAGATTTGTCCTTTCAAGATTGTTACGGAATTTGATGGCACTTTGGTGGTGTAGTGGTTAAGCACACACGGCCCCCATTGCCGTCAAGTCGATTCGGCCTCACAGTGACCCCACAGGGCAGAGCAGAACCGCCCCATAGGGTTTCCAGGAGCAGCTGGTGGGGCCGAACTGCCGACCTTTTGGTGAGCAGCCGAGCTCTTAACCACTGCGCCACCAGGGCTCCGAGGCTATGTCGGTTGTCACTTTGTTTCTCATGCTGACCCTAGAGTTTTTCTTATGCAGATTTAAAGGAAAAATGAAATCTTTTTTGTCTTCATTAAATGTGGGAAAATAAAAATGTAAGGACTGCCCATTTGAAGAAAAAAAAAATCACCAGTCGGCTTGTGGCCCCTGTTTTTACTTAATTAAGTTCTCTTTTGAAATGCAGAGGACTAGGGCTGGCAGGCAGGAATATGTGGCCCTTCTGCTCTCTCCTATAGGGTCTCTGTGAGTCAGAATCGACTCAACGGCAAGGCGTGAACCTCTCTGCTTTCATCTTGTCTTGCAACTAAGACCAGCTTCTTGGGGGTTTGCGCTGGGGAGTGGAATGAACAAGATGAATTTGGCTGGCCGGACAAGGCAGAGCAGCTCCTGCAGCTCTTGGACCCTGGACGGAGAGTGGCTTACCTTGAACCCTCCTGCAGGTGGGTGGAGGGAAGGGGGGATGACCTGCTGTGCATCCAGCTCTATCTGGATGCGAGTTTCTGCCCACACCTCTGCAGGGAGGGGTCATCTGGGAGCAGGTACACTTCCAGAAAGGTGGTGATTGAATTCTGGGATGGAATTGGGTCAGAGTTCAGCCTGAAGGCTTTGTGCAGTCACCAGGAGATAAAAGAAAGGAGTTGGCAGGCGCCAAAGAAACTTCTGTTTGCAGTTCTGCCTAAGGCCTAGACAAAGCTGGAGGGTCCTGCAGCCTCCCCTCAGGCAATTATTCCCAGCGCAGTGGTCGGGGTGAAGCAGAGCCCCAAGTGGTAATTATGCATGCTTCTGTCTGTATCCTCTGCCATTTTGCTGAAGTGACTCTTTTTTTTTTATTCCTGATAGCTCTAGCATTTAAGCTTAATTGTCTAGGGCTAGAAGACTTATTCTGTCCTGAATAGTCCTCTGGTGTGAGGGATTATGTCCTTCCCATTTGGTACCGAAAGGAAACCACTGACTTCTCAAGTGCATTGCTATCTTGTGGAGAAAAATACGCCCCAGGAGGATGAAGCCTTATTACCAGTTTAGTAATAATAGTAACCACGCTTTACTGAACACTGCTATGAGTCAAGCCCTGTGCTGGACAGTTTACATGCACCGTTTCTAATCCTTCAAAAGTCCTGTTAAAACCAAACCAAACCAAACCCGTTGCCATCGAGTCAATTCCTGCTCATAGCCACCCTATAGGACAGAGTAGAACTGCCTTGTAGGGTTTCCAAGAAGCGTCTGGTGGATTCGAACGGCTGACCTTTCAGTTAGCAGTCAATTGCTTTAACCACTGTGCCACCATTAATACCTGTTAGGCAGGTATTAATTGTTTCCATTTCACAAGTGAGGAAACTGAGGCCCCAACTAGCCTGAGATCACACAGCTAGTACATCTTAACGGCTGAGAGTCGACTCTGGTCTGTCTGGCCCCAGAGTCTCTGCTTGTTCCTCTAGAAGATGCTGTTCCTCCAACTTCAGGGTCCCAGGTGAGAAAGAGGCCGTTACTGAGTCCCAGCCGTAGGCATCTGTTCACAGCCTCCTCCCAGGCTGTTACTCCGCCTACTGAAGGACTCTTTAGGGCAAATAGGGGAACCCCATCTCTCCCTTGAGCGTGGGATGGCCAGCGTTGTCTCCCCAAGATGTTTGGCTGTTTCAGTTCCTGTAATCATAGCTACTGGCTGTTACTAGCACCCTGCTCCATGCACCGGGCATGCTCTCTGCAGAGGTGGTCTCTAATTCCTTTCCCCCATTCTACAGATGATAAAATAAAACGGGCATAGCTTACGTGGCCTGCCCAGAGTCACAGGGAAAATGAGCGACAGAGTCAAGTTTGCAGCCAGGTCTCTGACACGCACGTCCACACTCTCCGCTTTACTTCATCGTCTGCCCCCTTCCAGGCGGGGGTCTGGAAAACCCAGGAGCCGGTTAGTCCCTGAATTTGGGCTGGAGTGGTTGGAAAGAACCATCTGACCTTTAATTTTGGTCTTAGAACAATCCTGCCCCCATGGGATTTTCTATGGGTCTGTACCTCTGTACCTCTGTACCACTTCCTCCTTTAGGTAGTTTGCAAAGGGCAACAGTGGCTGGGTCCCCAGAGGCCAAGCCTTCCCTAAGACGCTGAAGGGGAAAGAATGCAAACATAAAATGTTGAAACTTCCCCTCTCTCCATCTCCACGCACTTATTATCAGTGAAGAGCTCGAAAGGCTCTGAGATTCGGTTCTGCTGGGACGTGAAGTGTGGGATTGCAGCACGGCCCGGGAGGAGGGCCCTGAAAAGCGATTCCAGAGCCCTCGGCATGCAGGTGCTCAGACCTCACCTTGGTAAATGTGAAATTCACAAAGCCACCTTGGAAATTCAAAAGGAGGTTGGATTTTCGGGGGCCACAGTTCCCAGAGGCTTGGGTCGCGTTGGGGTTGATGTTGAAGTATCTTTGTGGTGAAAAAACCTAAACCAAATAAGAGAGATCAGCTTCATTGAGAAGTGGAAGAAAATTCAGACTAGGGTATGGGAAGCAGACCAGTAAGTGAACCTACGCCCAAGGCATGTGGGTGCCCACTTGAGAACTGTAGGCTCCCCAGAGGACACCTCTCATGCCCAAGCCGTACATTCCAAAGATTTTTATTTTATTTTTTATTGTGCTTTAGGTGAAGGCTTACAAGGCACATTAGTTTCTCATTAAACAATTAGTACACATACTGTTTTGTGACCTTGGTTGCCAATACTGCAATGCGTCAACACTCTCCCCTTCTCCACCTTGGGTTCCCCATTTCCATTCATCCAGCTTTCCTGTCCCCTCCTGCCTTCTCGTCCTTGCCCCTGGGCTGGTGTGCCCATTTAGTCTCGTATACATGGTTGAGCTATGTGCATTATTGTTTGTTTTACGGGCATGTCTAATCTTTGGCTGAAGGGTGACCTCAGGAGTGACTTCAGTACTGAGTTAAAAGGGTGTTGGGGGGCCATACTCTTGGGGTTTCTCCAGTCTCTGCCAGACCAGTAAGTCTGGTCTTCCGAAGACTTTTTTAAAGAAGTCCTCTCACAGAGAGAAGTTCCTTGATAGGTAAAGCATAGCCAGTGTATTCTTGATAGGTCCCTGGGTGGTGCAAATTATTCTCGCTGGACTACTAAGAGAAAGGTTGGGGGTTCGAACCCATCGAGTGGCACTGTGAAAGAAAGGTCTGGCGATCTTCTTCTATAAAGACTACAGCTGAGAAAACTCTAGGGAGCTCAGTTCTGTTCTGTAACATGTGGGGTTGCCATGCGTCAGAATTGACGACAGGGGGTTTGGTTTTCGGTTCTGGCATCCCTGATAAGCTGAGTGGAACTTAAATTTTTGTTAAATGAGATATGTTGAAAGGTACTGCAAGAAGGAGCTCGCTGTTTAATGAACATCTGTCTCAGTGAAAGCTTGGATGTGGAAGGTTTAGTTGAAATCATAAAAACTGTACAAAAAAAAAAAAAAGGAAAGCATGTATTATTTTTATGGTGGCACCTTTAGTAAATCAAATAATCATAGCCCACCCCCGTGATCTTGTTAGTCTAGATTTTCCACATTACTGTCAGAGTTGACTGAAATTACCCAGCCAACCAGTTGCTGTAGTATTGATTCTGACTGCTGACTACCCCATGAGGGTCAGAGTAGAACTGTGCTCCATAGGGTTTTCAATGGCTGATTTTTTTGGGATGTAGATCGCCAGGCCTTTCTTCTGAGGCACCTCTGGGTGGATTCAACCCTCCCACTTTTCAGTTAGCAGCTGAGTGCATTAACCATTTGCACCACCCAGGGACTCTGTCTGGGACTATAGAGACCATCTCATGCAAACCTCTGGATTCAGGGAGAAGGAGCTGAGAGTCGGGAGTTATCTGGAGGGATAGGACGGGGCTGGGTCCAGAACTGAACTCACTGCCCAGGCTGACTAACAGGGAGGACTGTGCATATTTACAAGTGTGGTGTGTTCCTTCTCTCTCCAAACACTCTCTGTTGGTTTCTATTTTTATCGGTTTGTGTTCTAAAATAGATCCCCCTTTGAACTGAGCATCGTGGGGAAGGCCGAACACGCAGCTGTTCATTTCATTAAAGACAGAGGATGCAGGGAAACGGTCACTCTCAGCCCCACTTACCGACTCCTCATCTTGAACGATCAGCTCTATCCCCAGCTCTGCTTTTATACACAGCCTGCTTCCATTCAGAACTTGATAAATTCCAATCTTGGCTGACGATGGCTGTGGTGCAAGGGTGGGCCCAGGGGGGGCTGGTGGTGCTGTCTGGGTGAGATTGTGTGTGGCTGTGGTTGTTCCTGGGGCGTGGGTGGGTTGTGAGGGCGTCTGACTGGTTGTGCTGTTGCCTGGTGCAGTGGGCAACGTTGCTGGATGGGAAGTCTGGTTACTGGGTTGGTTGGTTTTCTCAGCTGTGTGGCTGAGAGTTGAGGGACGGGTTAGGGTTGTATGGGCTGGTGGGGTGACTGGGGGTGACCGTGAGTGAGGAGCTGCACTGGGGCCAATTGTAGCTTCAGTAACTGGAGGAGCCGATTGTGAGATGCTGGATGTGGCCTGGGTTGTGACCAGGGTGTGAGTTATTGGGCTGGTGGGCGGGAGACTTTCTGTAGTGACTGATGCCGTTGTCGCGGGAGTTTTTATCATTGTGTGGGTTGTTGGGCTGTCAGACTTGGAAGTGGTGGCAGCTGTTTGAGAGGCGGTGCGGCCGTCTGTCAAGCTTGCTGTTAACGTTTTGTGAGGCGCTTGGCTGGTGGGTTGCGGGGGAGAAGGCCTGGCCTGCGCGGTGGCTGGTGCAGTGGGCTGGAGATCATCGCTGCCTTCCGGAAACGCTTTCTCTCTCAGTTGGCTGCTATAGTGCAAAACTACTGCAAATTAGGAAACAAAGCTGTCACACGTTGCTTGTAAGCCCTCACCCCTTTTTAATATTTGTTCATGAAAAATTAACACACATATATTTAGATGTGGGGGAAATTCACAAAGATATAACAATGAGGTAAAGATCCCCAATTCTGCCGCTGGGCCACATCGCTGCAATGTTTGGCTGCACCCGGGCTTTTCCAGGGGTGTGACCACACTGCAGGTATTCTGCATCCAGCTGCTCTGTGTGTGATCACCAAGGTGATCATGCTCAGCTAGACACCTAAGTGGCAATGCCACCCAACGAGCCCTCCTCCTTCCCCACCTTCAAATTCAAATCCAGTCGACAGTGACCTGATAGAGCTGGTGTGGGACGCGTGCAGGGTTTTATAGTTTTCAGAGAATCAGACCCAAAGTTTGAAAAGGATCTTACAGGTCATCTAGTCCAACCCCAATCAGACCCTAACTTGTACCTACAACCCTATAGTGTGCATATGCATCTTTCCCGTGTGTCCGTCCCATCTGTGCGCATCTTTCCCGTGTGTCCGTCCCATCTGTGCGCATCTTTCCCGTGTGTCCGTCCCATCTGTGCGCATCTTTCCAGTGTGTTCGTCCCATCTGTGCTTAATCACCTCCAGAGATGGGGAGATTGATTTCCCCCAACACCATCTCTTCCCTTTCTTCTTTTTTTAATCTACCCACCGGTTGTTTTCCTAAATATAGTCAGATTCCCGTCATTTTCTTACCTAACCTCTTGAGTGACCTAACCTTTCTCAACCCAGAAAGAGAATTAAGCCAGAATAGCTGTGATAATCCAAGTGGGCTGTCCTTTATGTCTTCGCTTAAACTTCAGTTCTTCCGAGGGCCTTCCCTGTTCTCCTTATAAAATGTGTCTCGTCCTCTACATTCTCCATCACGATGTTGTATTAGTGTTCTCGGTGCGCTAATCACAATTTGTAATTACTCACTCAAATATGTAATGATCAGCCTGGCCCGACTGTGTGTACCAGCAGAATACCAGCCTTGCTTCTATTCACTGGTTTATTATTTGTAGCAATATTATTATCTCAGTTAATAAAATTATTTTATTTAATAATAATATCATTTATTTATTTATTATGTATTGGTTTATTTGTTGATTGCCTATCTCTCCCACTAGATTAAAAGCGGTCTGAAGGTGGGAGCTGCCTTTTTTTTTTTTTAACCACGAGTGCCTGCGCACAGAAACGTTTCAGTGGATGTGGGCTGGATGAAGGAACATTTGAGTGGGTAAATGAGGACTGTAGACCTTGTAGGTTTATGGCGAGGCTCAAACAAGTTAAATTAAGTGAAAGCACTTAAGGGCAGAAGGCCTCTGGCTCTATCCTTGCCTCCTTTTAGGCACAAAGCAAGTCGGAAAAGTGGAAAAAATGCAGATGATGTTCTTTGGGAGTTCACGATCAGGCCAACTGAGAGAGACTGCTCTGCCCCTTCAACGTTGTGGTTTCTTTGTGTTTGCCCACCCCCACTCATCGGAGTGTAGCTCCTGGTGCTGGGCAGTGATGGGGAAACGCAGGCAAAGAAGGAGGTTACTGTACGCTGGTATTCACGAAGTCCTGAAGTTCACGTCCAACGAAACTAACCCACAAACACCTCGAGGATCTCCCTCCTCCACTCAGTACATTTCTAAGTGGTTACTTTTCCCATAATAATAATAATAATAATAGTAATTTCAAGTCACTGGACTTACTACATGGCAAGCCTCAGGTCAAGGGTCGTCTTTCACTGATTGCTCTAAATATAACCCTCTGGTGGGTACTATCTGTATCCATCTTTAGATGAGGAAGCCCAGGCTTAGAAAATGCCCTCAACTTGGCCGCTATTATACAACTAGGAAATGTTGGAGCTGGGACTCAAGCCCCTGTGTGTCTGAATCAAAGCCTGCCCTTGAATTTAGGGATTGGAAGAGGTAGGGTGGGTCACTGGGAAGAATGGTGAGGGAACAGACAAAAGCAGAGGAGAGAGCAATGAGAGGGTGTCTCTCCAGTAACCCCAATTCGCCAAATCCTCATAATGGTGGTCTTCGGTGAGACTTTCTTTCAAGTTTACATGAGCAAATAGAAAAGTTCTAACTTCAAGCCCAGTAGTAAGACTTGTGAATTATTTCTGCACAGTTGGCTTGCAAAACGGGGGCTCAAAAAGGATTCAAACTGCCTCAGATAACCTTTTAAAAAGTGTTGCTCTTATTTTTAATGCCAGTAAGTCAAATGAGATTATTATTAAAGAGTCTTTTGTATCTAAAGTATTCATTTGCATAAGTTAAATGCATGATACTTGGGGGTTGTGGCTTTTATGGGCTGTAGGTTTACTTTGCAAACCTTCATAAAATCACTATATGTAAGACCTTTATGGCCACATTGTAGTGCTTGGAGTAAGATTTTTCCTTTCAAGATTGTTATGGAAGTTGATGGCGCCTTGGTGGTGTAGTGGTTAAGCACTTGGCTGCAATAAGAAAGGTCAGTGGTTCAAGAGGCCAAAGGTCCACTCTGCAGCAGAAAGATGTGGCAGTCTGCTTCCGTAAAGATTTACAGCCTTGGAAACCCTATGGGGGCAGTTCTACTCTGTCCTACGGGGTCGCTATGAGTCGGAATCGACTCGATCACAGTCGATTTTTTAAAAAAAATTTAAATGGAAGTTGATAGTTGTTGAATATTTATTTTCACAACTCATTTGGGCGAAACCTGAGTTGCTGGTTCATTGGTCAAAAACCCAGCAAGAACCTCCTTAGGTTCATACCACTGCTATGGAGAGAGAAAACACGCGCAGATGTGATTTCCAGGTCTGTCTTGTAAGAAGCAAAGATTGCTGCAAGGAACTCTGGGAGACTGGAAACCAGTCCCCTTTTGTTCTCCTGGGGAGATCATTGAATCCTTGCTAAAATCCTACCATATGTGACAGGTCTTAGGAGCTAAAGCAAGTCTTCTCAACTGAGTAGAATTTGCCCAGCTGAGGATGCCCTCCAAAATGGAAGGCTTCCTCAAATGCAACTAGAACTTCTTTCTCAGTAGTGAGGAAGGAACTGACATAAGGCAAAAAGCATGTTGGTGGTTCATGAACATGTGGCATCACAAGAGACCAGGAAGACTCACGCCACCCTGCCAAGGTGTGTATGCTGTGTAGAAGTCTTAGTGTGGTGGCTGGAGGTGATGGTAGCTATGAGGTCTTGCTGTGGTATGAGAGTGTGTGTCTTTGGGATGAGGAATATGGGTGATGGACAGAAGGCCAGGTTGGTAGGTTGCCAGACCAAAAGTGCCAGGGGGCAGACTCTAATTAAACATCCCAGGAAGTTCACAGGTGTGTTACAGATTGACCCAGTCTATGAAATATTGTTCTAATATTCCCATTCTCCTTCCCTGATCTGTCCTCTCTCCTTCCCATCTCCCTACAGATGTAGGGGTGGGGGGGGGTCATAAATGATGGGCAGGTGATTAGACAGAAAACTGACAATGATAGGTACACTGTGCATTGTAATATGTCCCAGAGAGTTCACATATTTGTTAGGTACTCAATAAAGCTGGGAAATAATACGCTGTCCTATAAAATCTATGCACATGACCACACTTACATGACCAATCTTTGTCAAAATTGGGCCACAATTTTAAAAAAGGGCCTTTGGCCCCAGAGAAGTTTAGTCAAGGTCACTTGTCTGCCTGAGAGCCACAAAGAGGGCAGTGAGCAGAAGCAATAGCAGGGCAGAGCTCAAAATCTATGCTCTTGTGGGGACAGATAGAAATCTTACTGTATCTTTCCTAGTGATTCTGCTTCTCAGATCAAACCCTGACTGATATTCAGGCATAGAAATTCAAACCAAATGTGATGCATGATAAAAACTCGTGGCTGACCCTCTAATCAAGAGAACATAGTACTGGAGCCCACACACTGGTTCGCTCTTCTCCTCCTACCACCACCCCAGCAACTCCTCTCCAGGATTCAGGAGGCTCAGCAGACAAGTACCCCAGGGCCTTGATCCACTGCTCAGACTCCTTTAGATGTGTGATCTGCAGGAAAAGGCGTGAGAAGGTCTTGGTTCCCCTACAAACCACAGAAGGAGCTGAGAGATGACTTGGTTGGCCAGTCCCTGGGAAAGTCAGCCACCACACAAGAGCTCAGGACTACCTCTTCTCTAGGCGTTTCTCTGACAGCTGATCTCTTCCCGGGCAGTCTTTGGTTGGCTTCCCTGCCACCCCCAATCCAACAAGCATGACCTCCTCTGAGCCAGGTTCCACATCAGGGTAGTCTTTGCCCTCTCGGGCTCACAGCTTTGTGGGGCAGACACCTAAGTAATCAATAGTTCCTCTTCAATGTGGGCGCTATGGGAGCTTGGTGGTGGAGTGGGGAATCCAACACAAGGAGAAATTCTTCCAGCTGACAAGACAGCAAATGGTATTGCAGACAGGAGGAAGCGTACATTGCAAAAGGCACAAGGCTTAGGAGCCTGGTGTGTTGGGAGAAGAGTGATCTTATTCTGCCTTCCCAACACCCAGGGAGAGGATAAGATTTCCCCCATTTTTCACTGAAAAAACTGAGCATCCGAGAGGTCAGAGGATATGAACAAGGCCTTCCTGCTGGTGAGGGTCACAGCAGGGGTTTGGATCCAGTTATGTGTAACTCCCAAAGGCCAGGAAACACCGGTCTGTCTACCTTGGGGCCCGGGTCACCTTTGAGGAAGAATAGGATTTTGCAGCTCAGACAGGAAAGGGCAGTGTGGGCATTTTCTCTCGACTTCCCCTTCGTTTGTGGGACACTCATTGTGTTCCCGACTGTTGGTCGTCCGTCAGCCCTTCATTTGGTGGACACTCATTGTATTCTCGACTCTGTCAGTCGTCCATCAGCCCTTCATTTGGTGGACACACGGGTCACTGTAGGTCACTGCTGGACTGGGATGTGTTTTGCTTTTATACCAGCTTGCCCTGCTAACTGTAGTGATGACTTCCCTCTCAACCACCCTACCCACCCCTCTACCCACCTCCCCACAAAAAACCGTGAAACTATAATTGTGTAAGTGTGGCACGAGGAAAACAGCCTGGGTTAGGGCAGCTGACCCGACCCTTCACACGACTTTTCTGACCGTTTACATTATAACCAAATGCCACCGGGCCTCCCTTGAGCATCTAGCAGGATGGAGCTCGTTCTCGCACATTCCAGTGCTTCTAGAAAGAATTGTGAACCAACCAGCAAACTTGATGACAAGAACAGAACCACAGCACGCGAGAGGACTCAATATCCTTGGGAGAAAACGCTCTAGGTGAAAGCAGTGGTTTGGGACACAAGGTAATGGTTATAAGCCCAGCTTCCCAGACAGCCTCTCTGAAGTGCAGTGGAAATTTCTTATCTTTCACTCCCTGGCTTACACCTTTCTGAAAGGACACGGTTTGTTAGAACACATCTCACCCAACGTCACAGCTCACTGTATGTGACTCAAACCTAGCACTTTCCCTGGAGCCAGACAGGATGTGCATTCCGCAAACAGTTTAGGAAAGGCCCCCATCTCACCTCCAGGTGGTTTCTACAAACTCTTTCTAATAAAGTGCCATCTGGGAACCAGGGACAGTGGTCTTCTGGGGTTGACACCTGCCGTAGTCATCTAGTGCTGCTATAACAGAAATATCACAACTGGATGGCTTTAACAAAGAGAAGTTTATATCCTCACAGCAAAGTAGGCTAAAAGTCCAAATTCAGGGCGTCAGCTCCAGGGGGAAGGCCTTCTCTTTCTGTTGGCCTTCTTATCAATCTTCCCCCGGACTAGGAGCTTCTCCCCGCGGGGACCCTGGCTCCGAAGGACGCGCTCCGCTCCTGGCACTGCTTTCTTGGTGGCATGAAATCCCCCTGTCTCTCTGCTCTCTTCTCTCTTTTATATCTCAAGAAATTGCCTCAAGACATAATCCAATCTTGTAGATTGAGTCCTGCCTCACTAACACAACTGCCACCCATCCTCCATCATTAACATCATAGAGGCAGGATTTACAACATACAGGAGAATCACACAATTCTGAAAATCATGGCCCAGCCAAATTGATACACACATTTTTTGGTGGACATAATTCAATCCACGACACCTATTCTGCTTAACTCAGGGAAAACGAGTCCAACTGTGAAAGCTTTTGGGAAGAAAATCAAGGTGGGTCCCCCCTTGTGTCAGGTAATAAGGACGCGACTGTCTCAAATACCCACAGTGGCCAAATCATACCTATATTCTGTCCTGTCTCACCTCGGGCAGTGGCACCAGAATGAATATTAATAGGATGAGACGTGGCAAAGTCAACACGCACAGGTGTGTGTAACTCACCGGCCAGGGACACGAAGAGCACCACGACCGCAGGGAACTGCCAGGACATGGCTGGCGCGGGGAGCCGGCGGCCTTGCTGAGGGTCGCTCTGCTGCACCTCCGCGGCTGCCCTCAGCTCCTCCAGGTGGAAGGAGCTTGGTCTTCTGACTGCCACAAGGCTGATTCCAGGGCAGGCCCCGGAAACCAAGAGGAAGAAGCAGCTCTTTGCTTCTCATTCACTTGTGGTGGAGAAACTGAAGTCACTTATATTCTGAGAAGTTGCTGAGAGGCCTGCCCAAGTGGTGCGCTGAGGGAGGGAGACCACAAGTGGTTCTTGGGCGAAAGCAGGCACTTTTCATCATTGCTTGTGGTGTTTGCCAGGGCGGGGCAGGCCGAGGTGAAGGGTAGCTGGGATGATCTCTCCACGAGAGGTAGTGGGCCTATGGCGGCGCCAGCTTCCTTCTCTCAGAACTTGGGTCTCCTCTTTTCTGTAAACTCTTGGTACAGCTCTGTAAAAAAGAGGCCCTTCTCAGCCAGGAGAAAACCAGTCCTTCAGTATGAGGGAGAGCTGGAGTTTTAAAACCCAGTGGCTGGCTGACTGGTGGTGTGTATTTACAAAGGGTCTGAGGAGGCCCTGCTCCAGGCCCACGACCCCTCACCCAGGGACCCTGCATGGCCATTGTAGGGAGCGAGCGGGAGGAGCATGAGCTTGGGAGTCAGGGAGTCTGGGTTTGAAGTGGCCCTGCCAACTCACCAGCTCTATGATGTTGGGGAACCTCTCTGAGCCTCAGTTTCTTCTGCTGTGTTGTTGCTGTGAGGTGCTGTCGAGTCGGTTCTGACTCAGAGTGACCCTGTGCACAACAGAACGAAACACTGCCTGGTCCTGCGCCATCCTCACAATTGTTGTTATGCTTGAGCCCATTGTTACAGCCACTGTGCCAATCCTTCTCGTTGAGAGTCTTCCTCTTTTTCGCTGACCCTCTACCATACCAAGCATGATGTCCTTCTCCAGGAACTGATCCCTCCTGCTAACGTGTCCAAAGTATGCGAGATGAAGCGTTACCATCCTTGCTTCTAAGGAGCCCTCTGGCTATACTTCTTCCAAAACAGGTTTGTTCATTCTTCTGGCAGTCCGTGGTATATTCAGCATTCTTCACCAACACCATAATTCAAAGGCATCAATTCTTTTTCAGTCTTCCTTATTCATTGTCCAGCTTTCTGCTGTATAATGGGGATAATAATGCCTATTCCTAGGGGGTTTTAGAAATCAAAAATTCCTGAAACATGGAAATACTCAATATTATTATTATTTCCTTCCTCTATTAATTACACAAACAATGATGGTCTATCTCTGAGGCCCGTGAGTCTGAGTGGGGAATACTGTACACATCCAGGTGGTGTATTAGGATACCCTCCTGATTACTGGGTTTAGGGCTTTCACCTTAGTCCCAAATAATTTCCTAAAAAACAGTTATAGCTACAGCTATTTTATCTTGCTATGTTGTTTTAGACACTCTACTCAAGTAAACTCACCAAAGCAGGTGGGGTTTCCAAGCTGATTTTTTATGGTGGAAGGTGAGGGTTAGCTTGTGCCAGCTGAACAAATGTCAACAACTCTCTACTATTCCGGCCTTTTAGTCAATTTATTCAACAGACAATTATTAAGCAGATACTATGTGCTAGGGGCCCTGGTGGTGCAGTGGTTAAAAGCTCAGCTGCTATTCAAAAGGTCGGCATTTCAAAGCCACCAGCTGCTCCTTGGAAACCTTATGGGGGCAGTTCTTCTCTGTCCTATCTATAGGATTGCTATGAGTTGGAATCAACTCAACGGCAACGGGTTTGGTTTTTTTGTGTGTGTGTCAGGCACTCTTTTTATCCCATTTAAGCCCCACAGCTACCACGGTGGGGCACTTCTATTACTGTTATTGCTATGCAATTTCACAGATAGGGAAGCTGCGCGGGGAGAGATCAAGTGACGCTCAGGGTCACCCCTTGCCTCAGCCTACGTTCACTGGAAAACGTCGGAACTAGTCTTCTGAGTAGGTGCTTAGATGAGCAGAGTCTTGAGGCTGGTTTTCGGGGCTCTTGTCTTTGACTAAGGCCCTGGGTGGCACAAACAGTTTGTGCTCAACTACTAACCCAAAGGTTAGTGGTTTGAATCCACCCAGCAATGCTGCAGAAGAAAGGCCGCTATCTGTTTCCATAAAAAGTACAGCCAAGAAAACCCCGTGGAGCAAGTCTACTCTGTCATGTGCGTTGCTATGAGTCAGAGCAGACTTGACGGCAATGGGTTGGGTTTTTGTTTTGCCTTTGCCTAAGGGAGAGATGCCACAGCAGGGTGTTTCAGAAGCATGTGGAACAAGGCTACAGAACTTTTCACAAAAATTCACCGCCCATTTGCCAGAAGAATATTTGGTGGATTGTCTATAAGGACATTTTTCAAATGCTGAAGACTGTGCTGCTTTTTATAAAAGATTAATACCAACACTTTTATATTTTTGAACCACAGAATACTTTGCTAATCTACGTGTTTCTAGGAAACTATTTTCTAAGAAAATAATATACAGTGGTAGATAACGTTGTTTTATGAGGGGCTAAGTTAACTGAACTCAATAAAGAACTCACATGGATCTTTATTTTTAGAAAGCATTTCCCAGACAGGACATTAAAGGGAGGCACATGTAATTATTCTGGGATGATTGCTTGGGGCCTATGACATACAGTGGGGTAAAAACCTAGTAGTGGCAAAGGCATCTTTTCATGTGCTTATTTGCAATCTGTTATCTTTTTTAGAGAAGGGTCTCTTTAAATCTTTCTCCCATTTTTAAAAAATTGTGTTGTGTGATTTCTTTTTCTTCCCTGTTCTTTTTTTCTTTTATTATTGTGGCGAACAGACACACAACAAAGCATATGTCATCTCCACACTGTCACAGGTACAGTTCAGTGATATTAATTACGGTATTTTTAGGCAAATAACGGGTGCCTTCTACGTTGGTCTGCCAGCGGTGCCCTCCCCTGCGAGGTATTGTCGTAAGCGTACTATGCTGAGTTCTTTTTACTGCAACTATTCTGTCCCGTAGGGTCGCTAGGAGTCAGAATCGACTTGATAGCAATGGACCTTTTTTTTCTTCTTTGAGGACTCCAGTTACACATATATTCGTTTTCTTGAGATGGTTCTACAACTCACTGAGACTGTTCAGTATCGTCAGCTCCCTTTTCCCCTCTATGTTTCATTGGAAATCATCTCCACTGCTACGTATTTGTATTCGCTTCCTAGGGCTGCTGTCCCTAGTGCCACCAACTACATGGCTTAAAACAATGGAAATTTATTGTCTCACAGTTCCGGAGGCTGTAAGGCCCAAATAAAGACGTTTACAGGGCTATGTTCTCTCTGAAGGCTCTTGGGGAAGAGGCTTTTTTCTTTTTCTTTTTTTTACTTTTACTAGCTTCTGGTGATTTCCTGGGAATCCTTGGCACTTCTTGGACTGTAGATGAATCACTCCAATCTCCACCTCCATCTTCACATGCCATCTTCCCTCTGTGTCTGTGTATCTGTGTCTCTTTTCTTTTATAAAAACACTATTCGTATTGGATTAGGACCCACCCTACTCCAGTATGATCTCATGGTAACTGATAACATCTTCAAAGAAGACTCTATTTCCAAACAAGGTCACATTCATAGGTACTGGGGATTAGGATTTGAACATATCTTATCAGGAGAGAGTTAAATTCATAACAGTTCAAATTTGATGATCTTTTCTTTTGTATGTCTAATCTGCTGCTGATGCCACGCAGTGTGTTTTTCATCTGACACTGTAGTTTTTATTTCTAGAAGTTCAATTTGAATCTTTACAAAATATCTTCCATGTCTCTTCTTAACATGTTCAGACTTTCCTCTAGCTTAGTGAATATTTGGAATATACGTAGAATAACTGCTTTAATCTCCTTGTCTACAAACCTATCATCTGTGTTGTTTCTGAGTGTTTCAATTGATTAATTTTTATCAGCATTATGGGTTGCATTTTTCAATTTTTTGGCATGCCTGGTAATTTTTAATTGGATTCCAAACATTGTAAATTTTACCTTGTTGTGTGCTAGATAGTTTTATATCCCTATTGTTACGGATTGAATTATGTCCCTCCCAAAATGTGTATTGAAATCTTAACTACTGTGTATGTAAATATGACCCTGTTTGGAAATAGGGTCTTCTTTTGTTACATTAACGAGATTACACAGAGTAGGGGGGATCCTAAACCTAATCACTTCTGAGTTCCAAGAAGAGCAGAATAGACACGGGGAAAATGAAGACAGCTGACAGACAGATGGATGTACAAGCCCAGGAACGCCAAGGATCGCTGGCAGCTACTAGAAGCTGAAATAGACAGGGAAGACTTCCTCTTAGAGGCACGCTCTGAATTTGGATCTCTAGCCTCCTGAACGGGGAGCAAATAAACTTCTGTTCTTAAGAGCCACCCAGTTATGGCATTTCTGTTATGGCTGTAAGGTAACTAAGACACCTGTAAAAATTCTCAAACTTTGTTCCAATACACAACTAAATTACTCAGAAATAGTTGGAGCTTTTTTTTAAGCTTCGTTAGGCAGAATTAGAGAAGCTTTTATTCTAGGGCTAATTTTCCCCAGTACTGAGGTAAAACCTTTCTTAGTTCTCTATCCCTTCAAAAAGTGGAGGCTAATTCCCCTCCCCTTGAGTGTAGGATTTATTAGGAATTCTAATAAATAGGATGTGGTGGAAGTGATGGTAATAGGTTTTCAAGACTAGGTCATAAAAGGCATTTTGGCTACCTCCTGCTCTCCCGTTTGGATTACTCACTGTGGGGAAAGCCAGCTGCCATGTTGTGAGGACACTCAAGCAGCTCTATGGAGAGACCCACGTGGTAGAAGCTGAAGTCCCCTACCAACAGCCGTATGAACGAGCCACCATGGAAGTGAATTATTCAGCTCTCATCAGAGTCACCTTTGGCGTCCATAATTCTACCAAAAGTCTCTTTGAGGCAATCTAGGCTTTTGCTATTAAAAAAAAAAAAAAAAAAAAAAAGACCAAACCCGTTGCCGTTGAATTGATTCCAACTCATAGTGACCCTATACGACAGAGTAGAACTGCCCTACAGAGTTTCCAAGGAGTGCCTGGTGGATTCAAACTGCCAACCTTTTGGTTAGCAGCCACAACTCTTAACCACTACACCACCAGCGTTTCTGGCTTTTGCTATTAGGCACCTTAAAAGTCTTCCAGCCTCTACCCATTACCCAATCCCAACACTGCTTCCACATTTAGGTATGTTAGGGCAGCACCCCACTCAGTTCAAGAGGCTAGAATCCAAATTCAGGGTGTCAGCTCTAGGGGAAGTCTTCCTCTCTCTGTTGGCTCTGGAAGAAGGTCCTGTTCCCTTTGAACTTCTGCTCCTAGGTGATCTTCATGTGGCTTGGCATCTTCCATCCCCCATCTCTGCTTCTTTCGCTGCTTGTTTATTCTCTATCTCAAAAGAAATGGACTTAAGACACACTCTACATAATCCTTTCCCACTGACTTAATAAAGACAATCTATTCCCAAGTGGGATTATAACCACAGGCATTGTGGTTAGGATTTACAACATATATTCTTGGGGGACACAATTCAACCCATAATAGAGGATCTCTAGCTTTTCTAATTATTTCTTAATGCATGGCTAGTATCTATGTGGACTCACGCTGTCTCCAACTTTTACAGATCCAAGACTGCTCCAGCTAGGGTATTTTACTCCAGGCTACCGCAGCCGCAACCTCAACCTCAACCACGTGTTGAAATCTGAGTCCCTCTAGTGGGCAACAGGCAATGTTACAAAGCCATAGATGAGCTGAACAACTGGTAGAACAATATTGGTAATTTTACTCATGCTTTTGGATTCATTTCCATTTACTCAAGTGGAAAGATGACATGAATTTCACCCACAGAAGAGCCACCCTTTATTTTTCCGTTTTCAAGATGCCTAAAAAATTCACCACTATTTCCTGAGTGAGCACTGTGTCCAGGCCCTGGCCATGGTGACCCCATGCACAGCAGAAGGAAATGTTGCCAGGTCCCGCGCCATCCCATGATTGGACCTTTGTGATCTAGCGTGTTTGCACTGGCTGATTTTCAGAAGTAGATTGCCAGGCCTTTCTTTCTAGTCCCTCTTAGTCTGGAAGCCCTGCTGACACCTGTTCAGCATCACGACAACGCACAAGCCTCCACCGACAGATGGGTGGTTGCCGTGCATGAGGTGCATTGGCTAGAATCAAACCCAGGTCTCCGGCATGGAAGGCAAGAAATCTACCAAATCCATTAAGAGTCTTTACATATTCTCATAGCGAATTGTACCCACTGTGATTGGTAAGATAACCAGGCAGACGAAACCAGAGAAGTCTGCTGAGGAATTTTTGATGCACTCGTGTGTGTGCATGTATACACATATACTCAAGACTGAATGTATGAATGTGTATTATAAAATGGATGAAGCTGATTCTTCTGTAAATATGCCGCCATAGATTGCATAGGACTATACTTTGACCGGACATGTCCGATGCTATTGATGCTGCAAAGGGCTCTGTGTGCTTTTAAAACCCCAATCTGCTGAATTCAGAAGCCTGGGTTGGATCTTAGCAGGTTCTAAGGGTGGCTGTTACCACCTTTCCAAGGTTGCGGAAGCAGCTGGAAGTCACGAACGGCTACGCTAAGATCCACGTCCCCCACTGTCCACCGGGGTGGTCCACAGAACTTCCCCGGGCTCCCCACAGCAGATCTGCTCTGCTTGGTCTCCCTCTGCAGCCAGCTGGTCTCACCCCCTCCTCCTTCTCCACAGATGCAGGAATCGAAAGGAAAAGGAAGGAGGGACGCACTTCCAAAAGTAAGTGGGACGGAGTGAATGGGCTGATGAAAATGGGGACAGGAGGATAAAGCTAGGAATAAGCTGACGGTTTTCAGGAATGGCAAGTCAGAGGGCCTTTGAACGTGTTGGGAACTGTAAGATCAGGGAAGATGACTAGTTGCTTCCTGCTACCTTGTGGGCTTGCTGTGGAACCAAATGAGGCAGTGGCTATAAAGCTCCATGGCCAGCCCTTCACGGAGCACCTTTCTGAACCCTGGACCCAGTGGCCTCTCCTCACCTCCCCCACAGCGCACTGCGCCTTCCTGCCTCTGTGCCTTCGCATGAACTGTTCCCTCAGCCTAGGATGCCCTTCCTTGCCACCCGGAAACTGCTTACTCTAAGGCCCAGCTCAGATGTCACCCCTTCCCCGACTACATCAGGAAGAGCCAGTGACAGTGTTCTGTGCTCCCACAGTGTTCGTAACACCGTGTTGTGCTCATCTGTGTCCACCTCTGTCTCCCGCAACTGGACTGAGAGCTTCTCAATCATCTTTATACCTTCCTGGTCTCACCTGGTACCAACCAGCACCTTCCTTAGGACGGGGGAGCCCAGAAAACAGGTGTTGAATTAAACGAGAAAAGATACACGTAAATAAACAGACGTCCTTATGCCCAAATTGGAACAATGTGGGTTAGAAAATAATGCAGGTAGAAGCGCATACAATTTCCTTAGATTAGGAAGAACTTTATTTTATTGTACCAAGAGAAACTATTGTTGTTTACAAGTCTGAAACACTCTATCGGGAATTGTCGTTCGGAAAAGCGGTGGCAGAGGGCGGCCCCACAACAGCTTAACTTTCTGAAAAACTCCCGAGAACATCGTTCTGCTGGACAGCTACGCCAAGTCGCCCCTCCCTGCAGTCTGCGTCGAAGTCCCCACCTCAGTCCAAGGCTTTTCTATGAGCAGAGTGAGACAGGAGACTTCAGTTTTCTCGAATTCTTCAGTGATTTTCTTGCTCACCCGAAAGAACCTTTTGGGTGTTGTTTGTTGACCAACTCCTCTGAACGCAGGGGATTCAGTCAGGTCCTGTGTCCAGTGAAAAGTTCAAATCAAACCCCAGCAATTCCAAAACTAACGGAACTGAAAACTCACTCTAGAACGAATTCTAGAACCAGAAACCTCCCAAGCTAAGTGTCCTGGTTATTAAGCCGTTATTTCTCAGCTGCAAACACACCCTTCTGTTCCTTGTGGTGGCGGGGGGCTAGCAGTCTGCATACCCCCTGCCTCCTCTGCCTGTGGCTCCCCATCAGGCTCCGCCATCAGGACAGACTAAAGGGAAGTCCCCTGGCAGCTGGTCTTCAAACCCGCAGTGGCCGTTTCCCCAGCACTTCCATAACGTGCCTCGCGGTGCCCCTTTAGAGACATCAGCTGGGGCGCCCCCTCCCCAGAGCTCCACATCCAGCTCCGGGAGCCCCTCTGCCCAGTTCCCGGGGTGGGTGTACCAGTTGGGCAGTGCCCCTCCTCAGAGGGTGACTCCTGGCCGTGTGGGGCCCCCTCCAAGCTTCTGGGTCTTGATTTCTCCAATCTCTTCCCTTTGTTTCCTCAGTCCTTGGGGTGGTAGCTGCTTCTTGCAGTTAAAAATCACCATGAAAAACCAAAAACTTCATTATTCCCCTCCCCGCTTTTCCATTTTAATTCTCTGATAGCTGGATAGCAATTCTTCATATTAAATTCTCTCTGTTCAAATAACTGCTCTGATGTCTTTCTCTTGATTGGGCCCTGACTGATATGCTAAGTAATTCTAATACTAAATAATTCTGCAAATAAATAAATCTGAAAATGAAATAGTAAAAATACAGAAGAAAAACAATGTAAATGGCAAAGATAGAACTAGCAACAAACACCTGAGAATAACTCTGAAAATAACTCAAAACTTACACCTCAAACCCTCTGCAAATAAAGTTCATAAAATATAAAGCTCAAAAACTAAAGAACTGAAATAATTTAAAACTAAATAAAAACATAAATAATAAATGAATACAAAAATAAACAACTCAGGATCTAAAATAATTGAAAATAAGTAACTGGGAACAGAAGTAACTCTAATATTAATTCTAAAATGATATAACTAAAAAAAGACTCCTAAAAATAACTAAAAACACCTCACTCTAAACATAAATCACTCTAAATACTTCAAAACATCCCAGACAGCTTTTAATGGTTAAACAGGTAACTGAAAAAACAAATGACTCAAAAACTCCAGTAACTAAAAATAGAATGACTCTGAAAATACTGTTATTCACAATTATAAAACTAATGAAAAATAATTCTAAAGCCAATTAATGTGAAAACACATAATTCTTAAAACAAAAGAAGTGAATATGAATAACTCCAGAACTAAATAATCTTGAAAACAAAATAACGGAAAGTGGGAACTTTAAAGCTATAAAATGAAACAGCTAGAAAACTAACTAAAAATAAATGCAAATTAATTAAAAATTAATGAATGAAACCAAAATAGTAAATAACTGAAATAACTCTAAAATCCGCTGCCAGGTGAGTTGATTCCAACTCATAGCGACCCTACAGGACAGGGTTTCCAAAGGATTGGATTGGTGGATTCGAATTATTGACCTTTTGGTTAGCAGCCAAACTCTTAACCACTGTGCCACCAGGGCCCCCTCCGAAATAACTCTAAGACATTAAAAAAGCAATAAACCTAAAGGTAAAAATTTCAGAAGTTCATGTGGAAGCCCACCCTCTCTGAAGCAAAGCAATCTTGGCACAGTAACTCCCACATCACACCAGCAGAGCACGGAGCCCCCAGCCGGCCCCCCGGTTGGGTCTGCGTGGGCTCTGGCTCCTCCAGGCTTGGGCTAAGTGGTTCTCAACCGATTCTGCCCCCAGGAGAAAGTTGGCAATGTCTGGAGACTTTCTGGTTGTCACAACTTGGAGGTGGTGGCACTGGCATCTAGTGGGTGGAGGCCAGGGATGTTGCTAAACATCCTGCAATGCCCATGACAGCCCCACAACAAAGAACCATCCAGCCCCAGACGCTGAGTTATGAAATAGTCGTGCCAGCAGCACTGAGAAGCCTGGACTCCGCTGGCCCCCGCAGGCATGCAGGGCCGCTTCGAGGCCTCCGCAGGCTGGGCCGGGAAGGGTGGGCTCAGCTGGCGAAGGCGGGCGCTACACCCCAGGCTCCTCAGTCTCCTCCTTGGCATCCCTGGGTGCCCCTCCCAGGGTGGCAGATCCGCAGGCACAGGGCCCTTTGCTGCTTAAGGGTGGGCGGTGGGCTTGGCATCCACTGCAGCCTCTTCCCTAGGGAAGACCACTGTGGGGTGCCTCAGCTGAGCCAACCACCCCCATGGGTGACAACTGCGGAGGTGGTGTGGAAGGGGTGTCAGTTCTCGGGGAGGGCGTCCTCAGGCATCCTCGGGGCGAGCCGGCCAGCGAAAATCCCAACGCTCTCCTCGGCTCTGTCTGCTGCCCTGAAATCCCAAGAACAAAATCAGAGAAGCAGTGGACAAATGGGCCTTTCCTTCCCTGTTCGCACTCACGTTTCTGCCTCCTCACGCTCTTCTTTTTCTCTTTGGGTACTTTCGCCCTTCTCCGGAACAGATTTGGAGGAACAGGTTTCATAACTGTCATCCAGCTGGAAAAGTCCCGAGAGCTGGAAGGGGGGAAACAGTGATGCACCCCCAGAGGTACCAGGGTGGGGAGGGCCCCGCATGCCTGACACCCACCCAGCTTTCCTAGCAGGAGCCTCCTTATCGTGGCCCAAAACCAACACGTTGCGAAGGAAGCAGGTGATGTTGGCTATGAGGTTCTAGATCCACCTGGAAGAGCCAGTGACCTCAGCTTCCTGGACAATGACAGGTCCTGAGGGTGACAATTCTTAAAAGCAGGGAGAGAGGGAAGGGGGAGAGGAAGAGGGGGAGCTTATGAATGGGAATGAGGACGATGAAAGTGCCAAGGGGACGAAAGTTACACTCAGAGCGCTGCTCTCCTTCTCCAGGCCTCCTGCACCTTCACACTCTTCAGAGGTTTCCGTGGAGACAGGCTTCCTGCTGGAGCTGCCTGAGGAGGAGAGAGAGGAACCTGGGCCTGCTGTGGGGATGGGGATGGGGGCCTGGGGACCACTCCCTGCTGCCAGGAGCTGGATACAGTAGGCAGTGGCTGTCCTCAGGGGCTGATCCTGCCCCATCTCCAAGTCCTCTTCTCCCCGGGCAGCAACAATGCACCCGGGCTGTGAGCGAGGGGGTCTGTGATCTCCAGGTCCCTTTTCTAGAAATTCTACAGTGAGACTAGGAAGAGACATTCACTGTGTTCTGCTGCCCGCACCTTCTTGCTTCTCTGTGAAAACCACCACGTCACCACTGCTCTGGTGAGCACTGCCATCCTTCCTGCCTCCCGCTCTTACCTACCCCTCCTCCTCCTGCTCCTCAGCCTCCTCTCTTACCTACCCCTCCTCCTCCTCTTCCTCAGCCTCCTCTCTTACCTCCCCCTCCTCCCTCCTCTTCCTCAGCCTCCTCTCTTACCTCCCCCTCCTCCTCCTGCTCCTCAGCCTCCTCTCTTACCTCCCCCTCCTCCTCCTGCTCCTCAGCCTCCTCTCTTACCTACCCCTCCTCCTCCTGCTCCTCAGCCTCCTCTCTTACCTACCCCTCCTCCCTCCTCTTCCTCAGCCTCCTCTCTTACCTCCCCCTCCTCCTCCTGCTCCTCAGCCTCCTCTCTTACCT